CGGAGCGGCCGCGGAGCCCGCCGCGGGAGCGGTAGGAGCCCGCGCAGCCCCGGCCCCGAGGGAGCGCTGGGGGCCGGGGCGGCAGCGGCGGCGCTGCAGACCTGGGCAGGGGTCCAGGGCTCGGGTGGAGCCCGGGGATGAGGGGATATTGGGGAAAGGCCCGGGAGGGACCCCGGGCTGGCGGGGAGGCCGGCTGGGGCCAGGGAGGTGGGGAGGGCCCAGGGGAGGATGGAACCATGGGCTGGGRGTGAGGAAGCCCTGGTTGGGGGCCTGGAAGGCAGGTTGGAGGCCGGGCACGTGGGGACGCYCCTGGTAGGGTGGGAAGGCAGCGGGGACCTGTGGCCACCCCCAGGGAAGGGAGCGGGGAAGCCCCCTGCCTTTCAGGCTGCACCCTCTCCTTTCAGACACCCCAGAGCACCTCGTGCCGGTCAGAGGAGCACGGCGCGAAGATCAGGTGGGTGSTCCGGTCTCACCAGCTCCTGTGGGAACCCTCACAGGCTCCTCTGGGGACCCTGTCCTCACCCCGCTCTCCTGTCTCCACAGGAAGGTCTTGGAGCATGGGGTGGTCTCCTTGAGCCTGCACGAGGATGGCAAGGCTGAGCTGCAGCTCCAGGAGGATGCCTGGTGCTCCACTTTGGAGCTCTGCAAGTTGCCCGTCGCTGAGGCGAGGACCCAGCTCCAGGCACTGATGTTCAGCTTGGTGGGTTGCGTCAAGAGCCTGGAGAAACGTCTTGAAGGTCTGTGTGTGGTTTGGGAGCATGATTATGTCAGGAGAAGGGTGGGAAGCTACCAGGTGCCTTTAAGGTATGAATTCRCTCTGCCAAAGCTGCAGCAAGTTGGCCAGCCCTGAGCGCCACGTGGGAGAGCAGTTAAGGGGCTGCAGTTCTCCTTGAGTYATCACATGTGATTTCTGCTCACGGCTGTGGGTGGACTGGCAGGGCAGGAAGCAGGTGGTTTGGGTTGGGCAGCAGAGTTGCTGCTTTTGTCCCCTTTGGACTGGCCTGTTCCCAAAGCTGGCCAGGATTTTCTGACCCTGTTGGGCAGCAGAGGTTTGTGTGAAACCAGASGAAAACTGTTTGCAGAAACGTGGCTGTGTTCCCATGGCTGACACCACACCACGGTGCATCACTTTGTGCCTGGAAGTTGCCTTACAGAAGTCACTTAGAGCTCTAAGAACCCTGTCAGTAAAGATATGGGTAGAAGTGCTGTGAAGAAAAGCAACTTGTTTTGACCAAGGGCTCATGTGAGGAGGGAGCTTGCTGGGGAAGCCTAGGATGCTGCATGCTGTGCTGCGTGTGCCTTGGCACAAGCTCTGACTCTGCCCTCTGCAGCGGCTGGCGCTCCGGGGTCCTTGTGCAGTCCGGAGAAGAATGCTGCCCGGAGCCAGCAACTTTTCATGCCAGGTGGGCAAGTGCCAGTGAACCCCCAGAACATGGTCCCACTGCTCATTTTTCCTTTGTTTAGCAGGAGGCTGATGGTCACCTTGCCCACGTGGTCTGCAGGGCACTCTGAATCCCTTTTGCTGTGGCTGTAGTCAGGTGGCACAGAAGGGGCCAGGGTTCAGCGCAGTGGCTCTTGGGGTCCCTGGGGTGTGCTGTGCTGGGGTCAGAGGCTTGGCATCACCAGGCAGGGTTCCTCACTAACCTCCAAGAGACCTTGCTGCCGATCCACATTGGAGGCAGCTCCAATGAATCCAGATTAGATCCTGGCYGTTTGCAAGAGGAGAGAAGGCCTGACCCTTCCTTGTCCACGGCGAGTAGCCAAATCAGGCAGCTGGAGGCACGTGCTGGGCTTGGGCATTAAAGCGTTATTAAAGCAACCAGCTAAGCAATATGTCTTGCCTTCCACATTCTCCATTTCCATGACTGAAGCAGATCCGAGGTCCAGGAAGAACAGAGGTGCTGGCTCAACTTTGCCAGCCAAGAGGAGAGTCCCAGGAGAGTCTCTCATCAACCCAGGTTTCAAAAGGTAAGTGCTGGTCCAAGGCACAAGGGCTGGGCTGCACAATTTCCAGCTCTGTGTCTGCATGGGAGCTGAGTTACGTGCCTTTGGGTCGGGTTTTGCGCACCCCAGCCTATGACTGTCCCTGGGTGCCTTTCTAGCAAGAAGACACCAGGTGGAGTGGACTTTGAAGACTCCTGACCAGTGCTGTCCCATCCCCCCAACAACTGTCCTATAGGGAGGGTTTTCAACAACATCAGAGACTTATAGCCGTTTTACTACACCCTGGACCTGCTGAGCCTCTCACCACAGGGTATGTGGGATTCTCTTCCTTGATGGTTGTCCAAAGGGATTAACGGAGCAAGGCCTGGGACTGGCTCCTGGCAGGTCTCGGAGAAGCAGGTCCATGGCTGGCCTTGTGGAAGGACCTTTTGAGAGGAATGGAGTGGGAGACCTGACAGCAGGGGTGGATGTTTTCTGCTACTGCTTTCCCTGCTGGCAGGTCCACCTGTGTGTATCACCTAGCATGTACTGGTATTTTTTTAAGGAGTTTTTATATCATGATGCAATTAAAAGACTAGCTATATTTAACTTACTGCCAATAAAATTGCTTTTAGCCCAACCGGTCTGTGGAGATCAGGTCAGCGTGACAGTGCATTTGTGTGTCAGTCTTTACTCTCTTTACATTGCTTTGCAACCCTGTGGATGATCTTCACTAAATCTGAAGGGTCAGGGGCTCATAGAAGTGCCAGTTTCCTGCGAGCAGGGAGGTAGGTGAATATTTAAGTCTTCCAACCCTATGCAGAGTTGGGAGTGTGGACCCAACCCTTGSTAGATGCTGGTGCCCACCTGCTTTGTGGCAGGAGAGCTGCCGGGGGCTGGTCATGCCAGGACACGTATGTCTCAGCTGCCAAGCTTTTATTGATTTCCAGGTGCTGTGATACATGGCTTTCCCCACTTGCCCCCATTCCTGTGCCAGATCTGCTCCCAGGAGCTTCCTAATGGCAGGTGCGAAGGGCTGGTTCTCTGCACTCCCCTACCCCAGGGCCTGGGGACGTGGGACAGCGCCATGGCCACTGCCCTCGGCATCCCCATGACCATCCCTGGGGCTCTGTGTGACTGCGCAGGCTCCCCGGCCCTGTGCTGCTCCTCCTTGGCATCCCGCGATGGCTGCTGACTCCTGCCGCCGAGCTGCACGAGCTGAGCGTGGCAAGGAGTATCCCCGAGGGAGAGCTGCCCTCGGAGCTGCGCCGGCGCCCTACAGCCCTCTGCGCTGGGCAGCTTTTCCTTCCCAGCCTGAGGATCTGCTCGTGCTGATACCCTGGGCACTACGCACGCAAGGTACAGCTGGTATCCACAGCTGAGGCTCCCCRACACTGATCCTGATGCCGGGGGGTTGCAGGGCAGGTTGAGGGGGGCCTGGCCGGGAGGGAAGCGGGACACGAGAAGGGAGAACGCGCTGTTGGGCTGGGTACGATGCAGKGTGGTGCCAGCCCCTGGGGCAGGGGTGCGGCTGGGGGAATCTGGGTGCCCATGGCATAGCTCGAGCTCTCTGCCCTCCTGGGCGCTTGCGGGAAGGACTGTGGTGGTGGTGGCAGGGCYGGGGCTGGCGCTTGCCCACTGCCCGGCCCCGTGCCCACCGGGGCCTGTGCCCGGCTCAGTGCGCGGGCCGCACCACGGAGCGATAGGCCTGCACGATCTCCTCGTCGTTGGGGCACGTGTATTTGAACTCCTTGGTCTCCTTGGCATTGTTGAGGTAGCGCCACACGCCCCGCAGGTCCTTGGGGATCCCGAAGCGGCGGTAATGCTGACACACGACCTGCGGGCAGAGCGGGGGCACCCAGGGCACGGGAGGGCTCGGGGAGGCAGTGCTGGGAGGAAGGGGCAAGTGGAAGGGCACAGCGCCGGCTGCCCACACTCACCTGGACGATGTTGAGCTTGGGCAGCAGGTTGCAGTCGGCCAAGGTGAGCTGGTCGCCGTCCAGGAAGCGGCGCGGGGAGCCCGGCAGGCGCGGGTCGGGGCCCGGCTTGTGCTCCAGGGGCGCGTTCAGGAACTCGTCCAGCTTCAGGAGGGCCTTCAGCAGGCTGCGCTGCAGCGCTGCGCGGCACGGGCCAAGCGTCACGGCTCTGCCCCGCTGCTGCCACCCTGCCCAGCAGCTTTGCCTTGCCCTTGGCGTGGGGCCAAACCTGCCTGCCCCGCCACCCCGCCCCAGTGCCCAGGTGTCCCTTGCCTGCGCTGTTCTGGCCTTGCTTGCGCTGGGCAGAAGCTGTGAGCACCTTCCCCTGCCACCCTCGGGAGCCCTGACTCCGTGACAGGCCACGTGGGTTCCCTGGCTGAGCTCTGGGGCGATGGCACCAGCAGCGCTGCATGGGCCGAGCCAGCCTGGCATGGCACCCCCAGCTCCTCACCCTCGTCCTGGGCAGGCACTGGGTTCTTGATGAAGGTGGAGAACTTGTGGAAGACATCATTCCCAGCCAACCTCGACTCCTTGTACCGTGGGACCAGGCTGGGGAACCTGTGGGGACAGGGGCACAGCTGGTGCCAGACCCAGATGCTGCTGCAGTCCCGGCCTCCACCCCCGGTTTCTCAGCGTTTTCCCTTGCCCCTCGCAGGGCAGTGCCAGCCACTGACGCAGGAGGGCTCAGCTGCTCCTCCAGGAAGTCCTCGATGTTGCTGGTGTCAGTCTTGGGCTCGCCGTTGTAGAGCAGCACGGGCAGCTGGGCGCCCGGGGCGAAGTCCTTCAGCACGTCCAGCGCCCTGGCAGAGACAAGGGCACTCCCTGACCGCAGGCATTGCCCTGGGCACCGCTGCGGGCTTGGAGGGGAGCAGGGCTCTGCTGAGGGCATGGCATGAGCTGCCCACTATGAGCCATAGCTTGGGAAAGGGATAAGGTGACTCCAGGGCCCTGCCCCTGTCCCCAGGCGGGCTCTGCCCTGGGAAATGCCCCCAACTGCCCTCAGGGTAGTCATGGGCGACCAGGGGCAATATCAGCTTCTAGACATCCCGCACTGCCCGCCCTTCAAGCCCAGGGATGTTGGAGAGCTCTCTGCCCACCAACATGCACCTGCTCCAGCAGATCTGTATGTGCCGGGGCAGGCACRTCCCACCCGAGAACACCCACGGTACCCCTGGAGGTACCACTCACCTCTTGGTGTCCACRGTGGTGAGGGTGAAGGGCACCCCTTTGAGCAGCAGCACCATGAAGAGGCGCTGGCAGAAGGGGCAGTGGCCCATGCTCTCCCCATCCTCGCTTGCCTGCCGGGGACACGTGGAGCTCAGCGCCCTCGGGCAGCCCCAGCACCCAGCGAAGGCGGCGGCCGGGCGGCTGCTGCGGCTGCGGCAGGGAGCTGCTGGCAGGAGCTTGGCTGGCGCCCGGCCAGGGCGCGGGCTCTGCAGCGGGCACGGGCAGGGCGCAGCGCTGGCCCCCGGCCCCAGCCGCTCTTGGGGCCCCTGCGCGCTGCCCCGCAGCAGCTGCGTGGCACCCAGCACAGCGGGCAGCGCCCGCCGCCTCCTTCTGCCCCGCAGTCCCTACCCCCTGCAGTGCCCRGGGACTGCGGGGCCGCCCAGGGACGCTGTGGCAGGGGACAGCCCGGGGCTGTGTGTGCAGTGGCCGAGGGGAGGCAACAGGGATGCAGGGGGGCTCCCATGGTCTCGTGGCCCTAGTCATGACCTGGGTGGCTGGGAAGCCCCTGCCTCTACCCCTGCACCCAGGAAAGGGGCACRGGTGGGTGGCACTCCCAACCAACACCCCCAGGCTGAGACCCCCAGTGCCTGCAGGGCTGGAGCCGCAATCTCTGCCCCCAGCAAAGAGCCCGGCAGCGTGTCCCACACCGCCTGGCACCGCCCTGGRCACCCCCCACATGAGCGGGGGACCCTGCCCGCGCAGGCTCTCCCCAGGTGCCCCGTCCAGCACCGGGCACCGGCACCTGGCCCCCCGCGGCTGCGCGCCCGCTGCGCACCTTGACGAAGAGCTGGATCTGGGGCTTCTCGGCCATGCTGGGCGGCGGCGGCTGGCACCTGGGTGGCTGCGCAGCGAGTGGCGCCACGGGAGCCGCCCCGCTCCTCCCTGCCCACATTCCTGCCCGGGGAGCACCCACCTCCCACCCACGCCCGGCCCTGCCGTGGGGCCCCGGGTCCCGCTGCAGGGACTGGCCTCAGCAAACGCCCCACTCGGGCTACTGGTGCCAATGCGGACAGCTCGGCCCAGGCAGYGGTGCCAGCCTGGCACAATGCCCGCACCATGCCAGGCCTTGAGGCGCAACAGGTCCTGTCCCCTCTCCTGAGACGTCAGCCCTTAGGGGGCTGCACATCCCCAAAGCACCATGGACCCCCCCTTGGGCCCAACCTGCCTCTCCTGCTGCCACACACCTACTAGCAATCGCCGCCTCGCCATAACTCKCTGGCTCCAGTTATTATTTTTTATTTAAAACAATCATTATTTTCACATTTCACCTTTTTTTGATTTTTTTTTTTCATTTGCTAGCAATATACAGGCTCTCCCAGAGCGTTCCCACCCCTCCGAGCGCCCGAGGCCACACGTGGCACAACCGGAGCAGCGCAGGGGCCCCGCTGGCAGCCGGGGAAGTGCGAGAGCGGAGGTGAGGCAGCGAGCGGGGCCAAACTCAAGAAAGCAAATAGTGTTAAGGCAGCAGCACGCCCAGCGCGGGCCAGCCCTGCCCCGGGGCAGCGCTTTCCCCTTCCAGCGCCCCGCGGCGCCCGGGCACCCCTCCTTGCAGCCCGCACAGTGCCCGGGTCCTGCATGCGGCCGGTGGGGACACTGGGGATGGGTGCGTGGGGGAGCGGGCAGCAGGGAGGAGCATCACGGTGGGGAGCCCTGTGCGCAGCCACCCCCGGGCCCTTGGGTGGCACCTGAAGGGGCTCAGGTGGCCATAAGCCCTGGCACCTGCAAGGTGACGCCGGGCGGCTCGTGGTGACGCTGGCGCCGGTGGCACAGGACTGGTCCAAACTCCCCCTCCTGCGGCCGCCCAGCCGTGGAGCCACCGGGGCTGGGGGCTGCAGCACCCGTGACGTGGTGCGGGGGGTTCATCGAACTGTCCCTACCCCCCACCAGGGCATCAGCCAGTTTACAGTATGCYGTAAAAAATATATGGTTTGAAAATAGAGCTTATTTCCCCCCCGCCCCAGTTTTCCCCTATTGAAAATACTGTATATTGTATCACAATCTATAATATGTGGCATAAAGGACTGGCGACACCCAGGCGGGGGGTGACACGGGTAGAACAGAGTCCGCCCCAGTTCTGAGCCCCGGATGAGCAGGGTGAAGAGCTCCAAGCACACGAGCACAGGCGCCSAAGCCCCGGGCGCCTGCAGAGGGCACGAGCACCGGCTCCGAGCTGCTGCGGGCAGCGCGGGGCACAAGGGCAGCAGCTGCAGCGGCTCCGTCCCTGCTCCCGTCCCAGCCGGCAGCAGGACCCTCTGCAAAAAGGAGGGTCCGTGCTGGCCGCGAGGGTGCCAGGGACGCGGCTGCAAGGGGGACTCCTGCTGCTGCCCGCCYCGAGTGCTGCTGCCACCGTCACAGGAGGTGACCGTGGCCGCCGCGTCCTGTCCTTCCCGCCCCGGCACACCGGGTGCTGCTCCTTGCCCGCCAGGCTGGCGGAGGGGCCCGAGGGC